AAAATAAACAGCAGAACGCAGACGGCTTGCAGAGGGAGGGAGCCAATGACCTGTAACAGCGGCAGTGTTGGGTCATACAGGTCAACGTTCGTGATTAGGTTGTCTGACAAAACATCCACTTGCACAGTTTGAGATCGATTGGGTCATTGGATGAAGAGATATTTACAAAAAAACGGGTCCACATGCATTTCATGCCAAACTATAGATAAGAGAATGATGAGAAGATACATAAATGTGTAGGTAAATGACAACTTCAGCCCAATCCCGGAGGCCGTCGCATGTAACTTATACGTGGCACCCATGACGGGAATCGTATCCTTGTCTTCGGCGTGATGTGCAAACACATTTCCCACACGGCAGACCAGTGAGTGAGTTTAGCTTACGCCGCTGCAATATTCCAAACCAAATCATTGAAATATGCGTCATCAAATTTGCTAATATAGAGCTATTATATGTAATCAATGTGGTCGTTCAGATCCATGTTTTATATGTTCAATTCCATGACAATGGCGAGCTGACACGAAATATCAACACACATGTCGGTGTTGAAATGTGGTGTGTGTCATTATTTACGTTTTACCCATTTAACGACGACTTTCTCGAAACAGCTTAGACAACGTTTTCGTGCACTAAATGTAACAATGGGCGTTGTTCTGGTGACGTATACTTTGCAACAGTATCGATGAAAATGATATGGAAAAAATTCTAACCATCCGTTCTCGGAGTTTTCTATAGGAAATAATTTATATATACGGTGTTGCCTGGGTAAAGGCCGCCATTCGGTAGTCATTGCCGGGTTCAGTGTCGAAGCGTAGCGCAGCAGATCCCGTGAACCAGGCTTGGGTTCCATTGCCGTCATAGGTACAATGTGTGAAGCCCATTTCTGGTGTCACCTGCCGTGATATTGCTGGAATATTGCTAATAGCGGCGTAAAACCACACTCACTCACTGGTCTGGACACTGGTTTTCCACTTGTTGGAACAAGACCATCGCTTGATTCCTTGTTTACATATACCGACTAGGTAGAACGGTCGTAAGTATTGACGGGTGATCGCAGAACGTATTGTCTGCGAGCCCAGGGGGTATTGACAGTATCTGTACACCAAGTTACCGTACTACTCCTCATAACAAAACATTGAGGGGCAAGCGCGAAACAAGAAAGCAATTCCCAATCAGGTTTCACCGTGTGGGCCATTTCAAACTGAAAACCATTAACGATTTTTGTGTATCCTGTAAAGAAAGTGGTTAGTTCATGAACCATGGTTTCTTTAGATTTTAGCTTCCGTCTACTGGGATCTGGTAATCTGGATTTGGAAATGACATTCTGATGAGAAAACTATTGATCATGATCTTGTGCGAAGGGGAATGAGTCTTTTGAAGAATGAACAATATTATCAAACTTGAAAACAACCATTAAAGGCGTATCCCGTCACAGAGTAAGCATGTGTCATTTCAAGAGAAATAATGTATCTTCAACAAGATCTTGATGACATCCTTAATCAGCTTCATACTCCAATACAAATAAATCACAAATTATACAGAAATCCCCCAATGCAATAAACACCCTTGAATCTCACGTCAAACAAACATTGTATTCGGACGCTCGACGTAAGTGGTGGTTTCAACGTTATTGAACAACCATAACATTGACCTACTTCTAACTGACCTACTTTCTTTATCTATTTCTGAATGACCCATGCTCTTGAGTATCGTATTATATGGAGTAGATTCTGAATGATTGGCATGTCAATATAGTAATTATTATTTTAGAAGAATACTAGTGTGCCATTATCTCTCTTATGCTCCTTCATTGATACTTATTGAGTCATATTGGCGCATTGGGAAAGTGTCAGGACCCTGTCATGGTGTACATAGCAATCAGTCATTGTGATACGAACAACACTGAAAAGTACATTGTTATTGATTTAATTGACAGGACAATTTGTCGACATATCTTTTTGTAACATATGTTATATTTGGGATTACACTTTCTTAGTGAAGTACAGATTCTAGTACTTTTTGGGTTGAGTCCCATCCGGGATTCGAACCCACACTCTCAGAGTCAAGCACCTAATATGACAAAAAGTACTAGAATCTGTACTTTACTAAGAAGGTGTAATCCCAAATATAACATATGTTACATTTGACCACTTTCTAAAATGGCATTGTGTATTTCATAGCTTTCGGCCGTGGGAGCCGTGCCAATTAACACTTATCAGAGGGGTGGAGTCTACTAATGCCTACAGTGAATAATGCCTACAGTGTTAAATAACAACTTTACGCACCAGTGCTGCTGATTGCACCTGCCTTCAACCTTTCAATAAAGTGGCATGGTCCTATTTCAAAGTGCACTAATGCCTACAGTATATAGAAAACAGTAACTTTCTATGTTAAGAGACATTTTATTTGGTCATTCATATACATATGTATATTCATATACATATCTTTCACATTGTTGTCATATTTTTCTTAATTTTCTTAAACTTTATTCATATCTTTCACATAGTAGTTTGTTGCTGTTGGGGGGAGTGCTGCTGCTCGTCGGACCCATCTGTGGACCTCAGGATCCTGCTCGTAGGCTTCGCTGAAGCCGAGGTTCTGTACTTTCCTCCAGAGAGCCTGGCTGTAGTGGAAATAGCATCCACGGACGTCGCAGTTGGGGAAGACGGTCTCAACAGCGTTGATGGCAGCGATTTCGAAATCCGTCTGGATGACATCAGGCTGAAGGGGCGATCCCGTTGTCTGCTGGATCTTGTCGTTCAGGAGACGTAGCAGGCGTTCATAGGTGCGGCGTTGACGATTCGGCAGTAGACAGAAGACCAACTGGGTCATCTTCCCTCCGACTAGGCCATGGATGACGTACAGCTGATCCCAGAGAGGAGGACAGGAGTAGAAGGTGCCGTCCATGTAGAGGGTGTCCACTTCTTGCAGGAGGGTCAGGCGGTCACTTGTGGCGAAGCAGAGAATCTTGTCATCATCACCGTCATCAATGCAGAGGAAGGGCAGTCCATCTGTAGTCTCCTTGAAGAAGTCGGGTAGATTCACCTCGCTGAGCGTCTGGGGAAGTGGCGGCATCATCTTCCGTCTCTGCTTGTAGAGTCCACTCTTCATAGAATGGAACGACTTGACTGTTGCTGCTTCACCTCGGTCAAGTCGGGAAATCTCCTCATCGTAGATCACCTGAACTGGCGTCGTCTCAGTCTGTACCCGCTGCCTCAGGGAACTGGCAATCTTCAGGGCTACCTGGTCTTCTTGTGGGTGGTTGTGTGGGGTCTGATTCCGAACAAACTGTCCGACTGTCGTACACTTGCCAAAGCAGCCACCTTGAACACACTTCCAGTGTACACACGTCTGTCGCCTGTTGTTGAGTCTGTAGCGGTATCCCTCCAAGAGTACCTGCTGTCCTCCTTTCTGTGATGTGGAGTATTCGACTTTCTTGGGATTTGCCATGATTTGCAATGAAGATTTGTATCACAAGCATTTTAAAGCAATACATTTCCTTCTCCCTTTAATAATCTCTCAATTAATTACTCTATTCTTCAATTTTAAAGCAATACATTTCCTTCTCCCTTTAATAATCTCTCTATTAATTACTTTACTCTTCAATTTCCTTCTCGTGTGAGAACTAAATGCGTATGGAATTATCAAAACATAAGCTAGCTAACGATTTAATACTCTTGATCTTACTCTTTACTCTCCTTGCTGGCCTCCCCTAATCCCTTTGTAGGCAATAGTGCACACTAAGTGGAACAATCTACTTGTGTGCAGGTAAGCGTATCGCTGTCACTGCAAACGTTGTAGCTATTATTCCCTGTTGGCATTATTCACTGTAGGCATTAGTAGACCTAACCATCAGAGGGGTACACAAAGTCCGCAGTCTAGACTACCAGTTGTCCGACTTCCATTTTTGTGGAAGCCGCGGTGGCTGAGCGGTCTAGGCGTCTGACTTTCTGTGCTGGCGATTAGGTGCCTGACTCTGACAGTGTGGGTTCGAATCCCGGATGGGACTCCACCCAAAAAGTACAAGAATCTGTACTTTTACTAAGAAAGTGTAATCCGAAATATAACACTTTCTAAATGGCATTGTGTATTTCATAGACATATCTTTCCTTGAACCTTGAACCTTAAACCCATGAAGATCCGGGTTAGAATTGGTCTCCAGAAATCCATGCTTGTAATAGCCGAGTAATGTGGCAGGGTGGCTAGACTCGCTGAATGGGTTGATTCATGTCGGGTCCCAGTTGCGTATGGGATGTCGGCTTCAAGCAACAAACAAACTAATTTAAACCTTAGGTGAAGACAGTTATAGAAATATTAAACAATGGATGGTTTAATTTAAACGATGGTAAACTTTCCTGTAAATGTTTAGATGACTTTTAATGGAACAACGACAAATGCTGCTTCGTTCATCTTGTGTTATGAACACCCTCTTCATTGTCTGGCTTGGCTTGTCAACGTTTTGTATACTTTGTATAGTTTTATCACTGCGTGTCAGTTTGGTGTCAGTCACATGAATATAACCCGTGAAGATCCGGGTTAGAACTGGTCTTCAGTAACCCATGTTTGTCGTAAGAGGCGACTAACGGGATTGCGTGGTCAGGCTCGCTGACTTGGTTGACACATGTCATCGTATCCCTATTGCTTAGATCGAAACGCATGCTGTTGATCACTGGATTGTCTGGTCCAGACTCGATTATTTACAGACCACCGCCACATAACTGGAATATTGCTGAGTGCGGCGTTCAACAACAAGAGAACAAAAAGTGATTTGTTATATGGTTATAATCTGAAAAAAATATTTAAATGAAAAAAAAGTATTTAAAAAAAAAAAAAAAAAAAAAAAAAAAAAATTAAATTAAAATAAACAAATAAAAGATAATCAAATTATTTAAATAACTAAAAATAAGATAATCTTAGATAAAGAAAGAAAGAAAACGAATAACAGAACAAAAAATACCCCAACACAACAACCCAAGCCATAAGTCATAACAAACAATATATTAAAATGAAAAAAATATTTTATTACATGGAGGACAATGGACGGAGGCTGAAGGGCGACGTGGGGGTCCTGAAACTATCCACTGGTCGACTGGGGACCGTCTTGCAACTATTAACACAATGCACTCGAAATGTACACACCTTGCTGACGATATATACACCTATTATACATTGCACACACGGCCTATGTACTCTACAACCGCCATGACAAGGCTGTCAGCACGGAAATAAACATTCGTAGATATGAAATTTACATTATTACAATTCAGTACAAATAATAACGTTAAATAAATTATCACTTGTCAAGATCATTTCAGTTTTTTTAAGCTTACAAATGAAAGTGTCATTTACAAATTTTGATTTAAAGTCTTCTATCGGCTGTGGAAAAGTAAAACAAATAAACACTAACCGTTTAAAATAACACAAAAAGAAGAAAAAACAACACCAGCTCACAATGTAAGCTAGATAATCACCATTTACATTCTAAAAGAGCCAATGTTAGGATGACGTTGTGAAAAGTATAAACATAAATGAAACAGGCAACCATTTCTCACGCAGTACAAAACATATTTTCAGCAAAAACTCATGTAGTATATGAGATATACCGTGAAACAATCAAAAACAATACAAAAAGAAACAATGTAAACTTCAATTAATAAGACCATATAATTAATAAGTTTAAGAGAGAAAAACAAAACAAGAAAATACCGCAGGAAAGGAGTACGAAAAGGAAAGTACTTAAGGACTAGAAAACAAAAAACGAAAATAATAAAAGAATAGAAAACGTCTTTTCTCATAGCCTTGAAGTGGTTCATTTACTGTAAGATAAATACATACGTATTTGAATTAATATCTCGATTACGACAGTAATATACTCGTGATGTTAATAAACAGAACACTGTGAGCAATAAACACTCCTTGAGATACAGTATTATACAAATAAGTGTGTGTTACTTATGATATCCCGCGATGTTATGAATAATAAGTACAATAAACCAATACAGAACATTTCTTTTAGAATGTCTATTAGCTAACATGGCGCACGCCGTTACACGTCCGAGAATTATAATTCCATATCACTTCATCATAATCTCACATAGCCTTATTTCTGTACTTCCACTTGTATTTCGAGATATAGCAATTAGAATAAACTTTCTTAAACAATATTAGGACTCGCAAGAAACTCAATACCATAAAATAACCTTTGCATAGTGACAATGCATAGATGAGGATGGCGTCTGTCTCAGTTCAAGGCTGAAATTGGGTAGATCACGCGATAATAAAATATCCTTCGAAAGAAGTTCGACATTCAATTTCCAGGATGTAAATTCATTCAAAACTGCATCATTCCATGATAAATAAGGAGACATTTTCATCGCGGACCTGTAGGGTTCGTTTTAAGGACACTAGTCTACCATACACACCAAAGGTACATGACATTTAATCACGTGACCACGACTATCCAATCAACACTGACTCTCCCAACCTTGAAACTTTCGTCACCATTACGGAGCAGTCTGCCTATGGAAGTGGTGAAAATGCATGAGTATATCCGCTTCTGATCCAATGTGAAACCTCCTCGTACTGAAAGCAGAGCAGCATGGAAAGTTTCATGCTGTGAACGGTCAAATTGCGCGTGACCTTGACATTTCACCTTTACTGTCACGTGGCACACACTGACTTCGTTAATTTAAGCCGTCGTTCAAAATGTCTTCGCTGTGCAAATGCTAGTGTTGTTGTTGATGTTTCCATGGTGAGAACTTGATGGGGCCTTTCGGCTTGATGTGATCGAAATTCTCACCACCCCTGAAAAGATAGAAATGATAGTGGTTAACACACGAAGTCGGCACATAGTACTAGAAGTAGAACTACCGTCGGTTGCTGAAATGTGTTTTAGTCGATAAAGGCAAACAACTCGTTATTTTTAAAGGTTCGCCCTGAAAAATGAAAAGAAAATGATAAAACCATTTCCAAATAGTCACGATGAAGTGTACATTTCAAACCCCCCACCTGCGAGAGATACATGGTATTACCTCCCACTGGTAATATGTCAGCAAAATCTCGGTTGTGGGTGAGTGGGTGAGTCTGGTATTACGCGCCCTTTAGTAGGATGTTGCCAATATCAAGTTGGTGTAATGAGTGGGTGAATGGGTATGGCATTGCGGACTCTTTAGTAAACAACCCCAAAGCTCAGTGATTTAGCTGTTGGGATACGATGACATACCCCGCCACGTCAGCGAGCCTGACCACGACGGCTCGTACGACAGGCGCAGGTTCCTGATAGATAAGGAGCAGTAGGGTACCCTAGTGGTCAAAGCGTTTACTCGTCACACCGAAGGCACGGGTTCGATTCCCCACATGGGTACAATGTGTGAAGCCCATTTCTGGTGTGCTCGCCGTAATATTGCTGGAATATTGCTAAAGCCGTGTAAGACCAAACTCAGTCACGCACTCGTATCTCAATTGCGCAGAACGATGCTCATGCTGTTGATCACTGGTCTGGTCCGTAGTTTAGACACCGCAACCGTGTAGCTAGAATATTGCTGAATGTGGCGTTAAACAACAAACTAAAAATCAAACAAAAAAAACAAACAGTCGTGACGTACCTTTGTAAACTTAGTAGAAGAGCGTTCCCTGACCCCCTGATCATGTTCTGAGCCTGAGCGTGCGTGAGACCCTGGGAGGTCCTCCCTCCAATACCGAGGATGATGTCACCGGGAGTCAGATGACCTTGACTCGGTGACCCTGGTTCGACCTGCAATTTTAAAGAACCACTAATGATACATTGTAAACAAGTAACAAGGTAAAAAGCAAAGTTTCAAACTGGCTATTTCCCAAAGGTGAGGTGAGGTGAAACTGGGTTTAACGTCGTGCTTGAGAATATTTCGCTTATTTGACGACGTGCATGCGTGTGTACGTGTATGTGTGGCTGCTTGTACTAGCCCAGGCTGAAGCTTGTGTTTATAGTGCTAGCCCACTGAGATACCATGCCGCAGTGAAGCATGAATACCCACTCAGACACATTATACTGACTCCGAGCCGACCAGTCCTTGTTGTACCCATTAATGCCGAGCGCCAGGCAGGGAGACCAACAAGTACCATATTTTAACTTCTTTTGGTATGACGCGGTCGGGGTTCGAACCCGCGACCTTCCGCTCTCCGGGCGGACGCTCTAACCACTACACCACGGAGGCGGTCATTTCCCAAAGGGTACCTTTCCCTTGAAATATCGGCTCTCCATTGCTAAACATTCTGTGTGAAAACACGAGAAACGGTATAAATAAAAGAACTTGGTTCTGATTAAATGATCTTTTCACCATATATATGTTCGCTTCACTCTTGTTTGACAAACGGACAACAAAGAATCTATACCGAAACGTCGCATGGTAATGTAATAAAGACGTTGTTATCCATAAAGTATCATACCTTTCTTATCATTCATCAACTTCTAAATTGCCAATCAAGCAGAATAAAGTCAACAATGTATACATTACTTCTTTGAGTGGCATTTTAGAAGTTGGGAAGTACAATATAGAACAAACTTTATGGATAACAACTTCTAGCACTCACGAATAAAAAGAAGTTGTTATCCATAAAGTTTGTTCTATAATGTATACATTTTAAAATAAACAAGAGACGGTCGTAGTATACATGTTGACTGCTGTTTTCGCTCTGTCCAGTGGTGAGAAGCGTGAAATTTTGTTTAAAAATTGGCAACGCCATAGGAATCAAACACCATTTTGCTTTTTGTACGGGATGTGGTTATGAATCCCCCTTCTCACTGGTTTCAGTTTCAATGAACTATATGTTTCTATCAATATTTTATATTTCAAATATTAGTCTAATATTTTTTTAGTATGGAACTTAACACACGATGGCAATGACACGCTGAAATAGACAACAGATATGTGTTTATATTTGATGTTGGGGTTTCTGTAATGTACACATGTAGATATGCACGCCTACATATATGGAGTGATATCCATACCCCCCACATATGCCCCAACATAACGTGAACTCATTGTTTTCCCCTGACTCAGCATATTAAGTACTCCCGCCCGCACAGTCTATAAATAAATCACCTTTGAAATCAACGTAACCCATTATATCATTCGAACCTCATTATAAAGTGGCATCGTATACTTCTAAGCATTGCACTGCATACCAAGCCACCGTCTCGTTATAAGGCGGTTCTCGTATGAAAACTAACATTTTGATGTTGGCTCGCCCAGTGTTATAACAACATATATCTCCCTGTGCAATGAACACGAGGGCAGACAGGCGTTATTACGTAACATATTGCACAAACATGTCAATTTCAGAACATAATGTCGTACATTTTTCAGAGGCCCGGAACAGTATCGTCGGGAAGGAGCTAGAATGAAATCCACGTGTGTAGGTATCGAAGGAAAACATTCTACACCGAGGTAGGAAGCTCAGAATATATTTCACACACTCTGACAAATGTTATGTTGAATTAACCAGAGCCCCTGTAGAGAACCCGGATTAGAATTGTTCCCCAGCAACCTACACCGGCCATAAGAGCCGACTGAATGGAGCGGGTGGAATGTCATTACACTGAAAATATCAATCACTGGATTGTCTGGTCCCTGCTGGACTATTTACAACCCGGCGCCTTACAGCTGGAACCTTGCTGGGTGTGGTGGCAACACACAGTCTCAGTAGTATATCCGAGGAGTATTTTGTTTACAAATACGCGGGAAATACTGAAACAATCAGTTAGAAATATACACACACGCCCCATAACCGCAATCTGGATTTGAGGAAATCTATTCTGCGACTTCTTCAACGCTTAACAAGGGGCTTTACATCAGGCATGTGCGTGTTTTGAGATTACGAAAAGAGACACACTTCATCGAACGTCTTTCCATGTGCCCACAGGGGCCTGTCACGCTTAGAAACAGCGTTAGAAAGACATATAGGTATATAGACCCTACCCTTGTACTATCAGAGACCATATAATATTACATGGTCTCTGGTACTATAGTTACGCCCCTGTGCATGTGCCGATATGTCACTACCTGTATGCGAGCATGGGAGACTAACGCTTAGTCCCTGAATATATATAATTTTGATTGAAACAAATAAACCCATTTAAATTGAAAAGAAGACCCAGTGAGTTGGGAAATCTTGAACCTGAGGAAATCTAGACTTGCTTCATTTAGGGCTTTTAGCATTGCCGGGAGGGCTAGGCATTCGGGAAAATAATGTGGTTCAGGGACTGTGAGATAGACTACAAGCATGGCAGCTGTTGAGGTTCTATTACACCCAATCAGATTCCGTAGTTTAACATACAACATTCAGTGCATTCCGTAGTTTAACATACACCATTCAGTGCATTCCGTAGTTTAACATACAACATTCAGTGCATTCCGTAGTTTAACATACACCATTCAGTGCATTCCGTAGTTTAACATACACCATTCAGTGCATTCCGTAGTTTAACATACACCATTCAGTGCATTCCGTAGTTTAACATACACCATTCAGTGCATTCCGTAGTTTAACATACACCATTCAGTGCATTCCGTAGTTTAACATACAACATTCAGTGCATTCCGTAGTTTAACATACACCATTCAGTGCATTCCGTAGTTTAACATACAACATTCAGTGCATTCCGTAGTTTAACATACAACATTCAGTGCATTCCGTAGTTTAACATACAACATTCAGTGCATTCCGTAGTTTAACATACAACATTCAGTGCAGATTAAATCATCTCTCGATTTTGTGTAAGATTTTTATTTCTTTAAATGTACATCCATCCATCAAATAAAACTAACCATATATTTTAATAGTTAGTGCTGTCATTTTCGTCTGAAAGTAACCACAGGTATTTTCAAACACCGTCGGACATTTTGTGCGGGGTTGGTTTGTTTGGTCTCCTGTACACGGAAAAGGAACTGGTTGAGTTAGTCTCTTGTTTGGTTATTAGGGCTGTTTTATTGCCAGACTATGCACACATGTACATGTAATAGCCGTTGAGGACTTATCATATATAGACCGGCACTGCGTACATCCGCCATTGGACCGAACGACTGCAGGAAAGCTCCTGCCCCGGGCACTGAGAAGCGGATGACACCTTGTGGAATGACTACCAGTACTTCGAAAAACCTTGGCATAATTGTTACAAATTTTCTCGTTCCATCTTAATTTGCTTTTTTTTTGACAGATATGGTCGCATGTGTGATCAGCTACGGTGACATGGAGGCTGGGTTTGGTTGATGACCGCTCTGCACAGTTGTACAGGACGGGCCACCTTGATGTGGGAAGACGCATGGTGTGAGGCGGGTCTGATATGCTTCCAACTATAGTTAAACCTATAAACAAACAATTATACACGTGTGATCAGCTACGGTGACATGGGGGCTGGGTTTGGTTGATGACCGCTCTGCACAGTTGTACAGGACGGGCCACCTTGATGTGGGAGGACGCATAGTGTGAGGCGGGTCTGATATGCTTCCAACTATAGTTAAACCTATAAACAAACAGTTATACACGTGTGATCAGCTACGGTGACATGGAGGCTGGGGTTGGTTGATGACCGCTCTGAACAGTTGTACAGGACAGGCCACCTTGATGTGGGAAAGTCGCATGGTGTGAGGCGGGTCTGATATGCTTCCGACTATAGTTAAACCTATAAACAAACAGTTATACACGTGTGATCAGCTACGGTGACATGGAGGCTGGGTTTGGTTGATGACCGCTCTGAACAGTTGTACAGGACGGGCCGACTTGATGTGGGAAAGACGCATGGTGTGAGGCGGGTCTGATATGCTTCCAACTATAGTTAAACCTATAAACAAACAGTTATACACATAAAAAGAAAACAATGAATCTGGGATTCGAACGCGAGATTATGGTTTGTTTGCAAACTGTGGGAACGATGCCTTAGGCATCTGAGTGAGTGAGTGAGTTTAGTTTTACGCCGCACTCAGCAATATTCCAGCTATATGGCGGCGGTCTGTAAATAATGGAGTCTGGACCAGACAATCCAGTGATCAACAGCATGAGCATCGATCTGCGCAATTGGGAACCGATGACATGTGTCAACCAAGTCAGCGAGCCTGACCACCCGATCCCGTTAGTCGCCTTTTACGACAAGCATAGTCGCCTTTTTAGACAAGAATGGGTTGCTGAAGACATATTCTACCCCGGATCTTCACGGGTCCTTAGGCATCTGGACCAACTGCCGATACTGGGAATACCCCTGTGTGTATCGATTGATTCATAGGAATCGTCATGTGAAAAATACGAAGCATGAAGTCTTTTCATCTCAATCCTCAACCTAAGACAGAGTAATTCAAAAACGCTACTATTGGTTTCTCAAGAATATAATTACATTAAGATATGTGTACAATATTGGTAGTCGTTGGAATCATATAATTTAGCTTTGATTTGCAAGTGGAGGCTGATATAAGATCACCGGGAGATGAGAGTGAGTGAGTGAGAATGGTTTTACGCCGCTTTTAGCAATATTTCAGCAATATCACCACAGGGGACAACAGAAATGGGCTTCACACCTTGTAACCATGTTGGTAATCGAACCCGGGTCTTCGGCGTGACGAGCGAACGATTTAACGACTAGGCTACCCTACAGCCCCTTAGTGTAAAGGAAGGGCGATACCAGTATTCGATGGTGCGGACAAACCACGAGAAACAACATCCGTGTTACTCTCGTATTTCAACCAACGACCATGAGTCAAATGGAACAATCAAGGATAAACCTCG